TTGTTTTGGGTTTTGATGGGTTGACTGTAGATTATTTAGATTTACTCAGTTTAGACTGACGTTAACTGCTGCTCTGCAGAAAGCTGGTTGCTTCGGCTTTTCTAGTAATTATTGTCGATTGAATTTTTCTGGCTGTCAGAGCAGCTCAAGACAGCTGGCAGATTTTTCAACTACGGGTCTATTCCTGAGAACAGTATCTCAATATATTTTGATTTTAAAAACCTAATATTTTATATATATTATGTAACATTTGTCCCATCCTATTGCAAAAGCAGTGTTGATGTGTGTGGTGTGGATCACTAAAATGGCAAGTACTTTCAGGCTCATTAATAGATTGATGACTGGGGCTGTGTCTAATGGAAATAATATTGTCCCTCGTGAAAAAAAGCTGCAGTGTCCCAAATTCCACAGTGCTAAGCTGAGGCAGTAGTAGTGTAGAAGTACCATATACAAGCTCCTGATTTTTCATTGATTTAACGTTGGCTCTACCCTCTGCGCCAACCAAGCTGCATGCTAATCTGTGCACACTACAGTAAACAGAGAGTATGTAATGAGATGAAGAAGAACTTCAGATGTGCAATAACGACTATGAACAGTGATTCACTGAGTGCACTTAAGACCAACAGGAGCTCATAGTCCAGGTTGATATCTCTCCTCTCAGATAAAACAAGCTGTATCACCTACATGCCAACAGCAACAAACAGATTTAGCTCTCCATCGATCATTGAAACACTCCCAAAAATTGCATTAGCAAGGATTCCAACCCCTCTCTCAGAAGCACCTGCTTTTTAAAATAAGAAGCAGAGAGTCTTAGACCTGCACCTTGAATCTTAGACGTGTACCATCTGACATCTTGGTCTTACAACACCCCCAAATTAGGGGGGTGTTTTGGAAAAGCAAAAAGAAGTGAACAGCAGAACGCCTATTGTCAGGAAATGCTAGATAGATATATAAATAGACAAATAATCACACACACGTACACATATATTTTATTTTAAAGTTTAATGTCAAGAACAGCAATTTTCCTGTATTCCCTTTGAATATTTTTTTGCCGACTTATTTTTGCTAAAGATTTGACATGCTCAGCCTAAATTAACTGTTTGTTTCTTAAAGCTAATGAACAAGAGGGAACATTGTACTGTGATGGGCAGAGTACGTCAGGCAGTCTTGACAAATGCCATCACATGAACTTATGTTTTGTTGCCATTTGGAGTCAAATAGATATTTAAGCAGGGCATGTTTAAGAGCCTGGATACCTTGTGATTGTTGGTTGCTAAAACCTAATTTATACAAGTGAGCAATTTCATTCATTTAGTTGGTATGGTGGTGTGTGTTGAATGTGCTCTGGTATGTGATGTGTGTGTGTGTGTGTATAATATATATGTGAGTTTGTATGTCTGTCTGTCTGTACAGACTGATTTCATTTGTTCACTCTGTCCCATAAAGCACTTTGTAGTGATAGATAGTAATGTGTCAATCACATGAAGACCGCCGTTAAGCATATCCTGCTAAAACATCTTTTAAACTCAATAATAGGGATGTAAAGATTAATCGTAAAATCATGATAATTCGATTCAAAGGTGTCAAGATTCACATCGGTACTCTGAAAAATGTATCGCAATAATATGGTGAGCTTCAGCAGCTGCAGAGCAAGATTTTGAAATTGAGGATGCGCCACTGTCTTTTAAATCGGAGGTGTGGAAGCATTTTGGATTCCCCAAGATAGAAAATGAAAGAGGTGAGAAGATAACAGACAAGACAAGAACTGTGTGCAAATATTGCAAGAAGACAGAGAACTACTCAAATAGCACAACCAACATGATGCAGGATTTAATCGACACCACAATGAGAAAGGCCAATCACCTCCTTGTTGCGAGAAAAAGAACATTAAAAGGCCAAACCACTGACAAGTGGGTTTGAAGCCCCTAGAGGAATATTTTTCAGTCATCATTTGTCTAAAGTCTCATTTTGTAAAATAAATCGTGAGAGAATCGTATCGTGAGTTGAGTGAATCGTTACATCCCTACTCAATAATCAAGGCCAAGATGAGCATAATCAACATCATGTTGTTTTGAAGAAGACTGGAAACTACTGATTGAGACCATAAATGATTTAGGGAAATGTTTGCTGAGGTAATAAATCATGTGCAAAGTAAGTTCATTTTCTATTAAATGTATAAATTAGACTTTTTTTTTTATGCAACCAAGTTGTCCCTTGCTTGCCATTGGAAATTAAAAACATATACTGGATTCACTTTAGTGCACTCTTTGGTAATCTGATAAAATTGTTGAGATAAATTGGGAAAAACCATTCCGCAAAAAAAAATCTGTCTCATATTTTTGGAGAAAATTGGTGTTTAAATGCCTACAGCTAGATTCTAATGAATAAAAAGCAATATGTATTAAAAAAAAGGTGTTAAAATCTCCGTCCATACAGACAACATTGTTGTTGTGTTTTCTAAGATTTAAGCTTCAGGGCTCTCGGAGTGCTTTGGATGCAGATCCTTGCCTCCTTTGTGTCCACTGACCTGTAACTGTGGGAAACTGACGAAGGTATTATTTGAACCTGTCTGACAGGTTTGAAAGGGTTCATGTTAGCATACTCCTGAGGAGGAGGAGGAGGGGGGGGGGGGATGGGGGTGTATGTGGGGCATCATAATAGAGCATTTCTTTGCCCTCCTTCAGTGTCAGTTGCTGCCTTTTGTTGCAGACTGAAGCAGCGTCTGTGTTCACATAGGGAGCACAGTGATGCTCATGTCCTGTTCTCAGCACTTTGTTGTTGACAGGAGAGGATGCTGTGGCAGGCTGACCCTCATATCCACACCTCCACTCCCCCCCCCTTTTATCTTTTTTTTCTGCTGATCTCTCTCTCCCTCTTTCATCACTCTCTCTCTTCCCGATGTTTCCACAAGCTCTCTCTGTCTCTCTCTCTGTCTCTCTCTCTCTCTCTCTCTCTCTCTCTCTCTCTGTCTCTCTCTGTCTCTCTCTGTCTCTCTGTCTCTCTCTCTCTCTCTCTCTGTCTCTCTCTGTCTCTCTGTCTCTCTCTCTGTCTCTCTGTCTCTCTCTCTCTCTCTGTCTCTCTGTCTTTGTCTGCGTCTCTTGTCCGTCTGCTCTCGTATTTCTCTGCAGTGAGAGCTGCTGACCGAGGGCTTTCAGGCCTCTCGGGTGTCATTACTGACATCTGAGCTTGGGAGAGCAAGCTTTTTTTACTCTCTCACAACACACACATGAACACAGTCACAAAGTCATATCAAACCAGACAACACAATAATGCATGTCGAGTTATGAATCAGGACATGTGGACAAACACATAAGGTTGAATGTAAAGTAGATTGAAAGCAGACTTACTTTGTTTTTATTGTAATTATAAAGTTCATCACATATTGAGTTTTCTTCACATAGATCTCTGACTAATCACCCAGCTTGTTTAAAGCTGCCTCTGGCAACATTTCTACTCTGTATTTATCTCCAAACACATAAGGGGAGGAATCAAATTTAATATGAATCATGAATCTCTATTCCTGACATACTGCAGAGGGAGCCATCTGTTTGTTAAAAGTTTAATTTAGGAGAAAATCCTAAAAGTCAGAGAAGCACAAACAACTCAAGATTATTCAAGTATTTTCTTCTTCTTTTTTTTCATATGGGCCCTTGTTTCACACCGTTTCAGATATTATGAATAAACGAGAAAAAGTGTTGTATTTCTCCGGCAGAATAAGACACAGATTTTAAAATATGGGAGTTCCCATAAAGTCGCACCTGTTTTTATCTCCTCGCTGGTGTGGTTTTTAGGGCTTTGATAAACTGATAAGAAACCAGTGTTATCAGAGATCTTACAAGGCTGGAACTGCTCGACAGAATAACCTTCTGGAGCATATCATGACAGGTTAAGACACAAATTATTGAAGTAAAATCTTCCAATTCATATTGTCATGACCGGCTCAAAACCAGGAACAAATGACGAGAGGAGACGAGGAGTTACTCCCAAAAATATGTTACAATTATTTAAACTGAAGTAAAATTATTCGATGTAACAAACATTAGGAGATGTGGATGTCAGTTAATCAGTTGGTTAAGGGTGTATGTGAGAGTGAAGGACTGATGTCGTGTGGAAAGTCAAACAAAAGGCAAGAGCAGGGTGGCTAAACTGAAGAAAAGCTTCTCTCTGTCTTTTATTCTCCCTCCGATGAGGACACGGGGCCTTCTCTTATGGATTGGGAACACCCGACCAAGGTGTTCTCATTTCATGATGACCCAGCCACACCTACTGGCACCTGAAACACACAGACAGCCTGCAAAACAAGCAAACAAGCAAGCAGCAGGGGCGTCACAGTATAGTTACAATAATCTGTCAAATATTTCACAACTTTCTAGCAACTGGAGGAAAGAAGACTGTTTTAAAAATTAGAAATCCAGTTTAATATCCCCAAAAATAACTGGCATCTCTTTTTCGAACTTCTTTCATGTGAAAAATATCAAAAACTATGAGGCAGATCCAGAAAGAAATGTAGATCTGCTTGACATAAAACAATCTATTCTTCAGTATAAAGGATGTATTTTAATTATTTTTTATAATTTGTTCAATGTCTCCCACTGTATGAATTTAAATGATTTTACCAGGAAGATAAAATCTCTTTTAAAAAGTGAGTCCTGGCTAAGATGGCAGGATTTAAGTTTCAAAAAAAGAAAACAACAAAAGATGAGAAGAATACATCTTCATTTAACAGGGGTTAATGTTGATTAAAACGTACAAAAAAAAAAATTGATAATCAATCATCAAATAAGCTCGTAATAAATGTTTAGATTGTCAACTGAACTTTATTTATACAGCACCTTTCATTCATTCAATCATGCAGCCCAAAGTGCTTCAAAAGCGTTTTCAGTTCTTATCATAGACTCTTCTCTGAATATGTTTAGATGCATTTTGATGTTTAATTTAAAGGTCTTATAATATCATTTTGAACTCCCTTAAGTTGTTTGTGTCTCTCTTTGTCTCTTCAGATGACACTGATGGCTCTCCTTCAACTACTGCCGAGAGTCAGGTGAGAAAGAAGAAAGAGACACAACCCTCTTGTTTATTGACTCTGATGTGTTGTTTATCTTGAGAAATAAATCGAGTACAAACTATTGTCAAATAAAGCTAGTACATGTATACCATACAAAGTCTTGAGTCAAGCTCACCAGATGTGCTGACTTTTTTACATTCATTTTTTCAGTTTCTAAGTAAATGACAACCTTAATTTTTTCTGGTTGCTCTAACACAGATATATTCATGACCATGCGGGCTGACGTGTGAACTTCCTAACAGAACCTTTATCCTGGTATATAAATAATGCTTGGAGAAACTTAGAGATGCATCACAGTTGTGCAGGTGGTGCAGCTCCACGCCAGAGCTCATGACATGGTATAATAATGTTACAAATTCCTTTTATAAAGTTATAAGAATGCAGTATTCTGGGAACCGTCAAGATCCATATTGGTGCATAAACCATATGAAAAGAGTTATTTTCATTCCAGGTCAGAAATCCCTATTATGAACACCAGACTAGTTATCCGTGTCATTGTTCTTATTACTGTATGTATGAGGGCTATTATTTTCCCAGTAAATTTGTATAATTGGAAATGCTTTGTATTTTATGTCTGCAGAATATAGTTAGCCATAATTTTGACAGTAGACATGGGAGACTTGATTGTCTTTGGAATTAGGTTGTATTAAATTTGGTATTGGCTTCACGAGTCGCCCTTAGTAAGTAAGAAAACGTAGTGACAAAATCCAATCCTTGCGTTGTTGTGGTTCGTCGTCCCTCCAGGTCGTGCAGTCGCTGGGCGTGGCCATCTACCAAGCTCTGGACTGGGGGCTGGACGACAGCGAAGAGCGGGAGCTCAGCCCACAGCTGGAGCGCCTCATCGAACGCATGGCTGGCGGGGACCAGGCTGAAAAAGGTGACATCAGGAACAGTACAACAGATGAGGGCTACAGCGGCCAAGAAGAGGAGGAAGAGGAGGAGGAGGATGAACAAGAGGGAGCCAGAAGGCCAGTGTTTACGTTCCGCAAAGTGATGACGCTTTGTGCGTCTCGGCTGGCAAACCCCAGCTTGGCCCCGGAGCACTACCAGGCCGTGTGCAGGGCTCTGTTTTTGGAGACTCTTGAGCTACAGACCTTCCTTTTTAAGATCAGAGATGCTAAGGAGGTAAGTTCGTTTATAATGTCTGTTTTAACTTTGAATACTTAAACAGGAAAACCTGATTCTAACAATAGGTGTTATCAGACCAAACAGTTCTGGGGACTTTTTGAAGACTAGGGAGTTCCTCACTTTTTTTCTGTCTGCATTCGCTCCGCCATGGTACCTACTCTGAAGCAGGAGCTGAAAAATGGTTCCTCTCAGTGGGGTTCTAGGAACTAAAAAACGTTCATAGCTCCTGCAATGCGGAATCATTAAAAATGGGGGAAGGTTTCAACAGTTCCTAGAACTATGAAAAAGTTCCTGCAGTCCCAAAACGGCTAATGTAGCTTTCAACCTTGAAGAAAAATATAAAAGGATGGTATGACCTGCTTTAATCTTTTTCAGTACATTTCTGCCTCCAGAGGCCTGCACCTCAATGGCTGCATGCACTTTGATTTGAAATACTAATACAGTCCTGCATTAATATTCCTGTTTTCATGCTACACAGCAGAGACAGATAAAAAAAAAACAATGCAACCGCCTCCACCGTTTCTTTCTGGATCTCAACCTCCTAGAATGTCAGCTTCCCTTAGAAAACTGTATCGTCTGAAAACTATCTTTTAACATTTGTGCATGCAGAAAAAGCTGGCAGAGTCTACATTATATAGCACAGAAACATGGTGTGTAAATGTAAATGATGGGCTGATTGTTAGAAACTTTAGATTATTGTTAATGTAATGTTAGGTTGTTACAATAGTTTCTACACAAAGTGGCCTTCATTAGCAGAAGGTTATGTATATGCATGTAACCTTGGTAACGAGTCGGGTAGAGAAACATAACAACCGTCACTGTACTGCCTTTACTGTACTCGAGTCTCAACAAAATCCCTAATACTTGAAACGTCTACCAATGTGCTGTTAAATTACACAGTTAAAACAATGCACTCTTGCTTTTTGTTGCACAGATGCTGAAGAAAATCTCAACAAAGGAAGTTTTGGTGGACGGATCGACAGCCGAGCTGGATGCACTGAAACACCATGACTGGGTGAGATGAAGAGAGCGAGGCCACAGTGTGACAGGAAGAACAATACAGCTATTTGTGTGTGTGACAGAAGAAGGAAGGGCTGTGATGTTGGCTCATGCAGATGTGCCTGTTGTTGTTTCCATGCCAGGCTCGGCTGTGGGTGCAGCTGATGAAGGAGCTCCGGCAGGGAGTGAAGCTGAAGAAGGTGCAGGAGCAGCCATTCAACTCACTGCCCACAGAGTTCAGCCTCACTCCCTTTGAGATGCTGATGCAGGACATACGAACTCGCAAGTTCCAGCTGCGCAAAGTTATGGTGAGCCACGAGTCTCTGATTTAAACACCAAGGCATTAGTAAATGGTAAATGAATTTGAGCTTATATAGCGCTTTTCTAGTCTTCCGACTATTCAAAGCGATTTTACACCGCATGTCACACCCACCCATTCACACCCTTTCACACACTGATGGTAGTGATCGCTATGTAGTATCATCCATCAGAAGTAGCTAATCTCATTCATACAACACCACCGAAGCATGGGGAGCAATTCGGGGTTAAGTGTCTTGCCCAAGGACACATCGGACATATTGCTGCCATGGTGGTTGTCATAATTTCAGTATCAGGTGTCCATACCGATGTTATTAAGGATTTGACATTGTCAGCTAGTGAAAATCAAAATCAAAACAATTGTTATTAATGTGTTAAGGGTTAGGAAACAGAACAACAACAAAACATTTACAGGTCTATTCTAAGAACATGTTATAAATGAAACATGTAAATATGGAAGACGTAACAATAAATCAAAGAAATAGTGGTGGTTACACATTAGTTATTTATCAATGGATTGTTATGGATGACCTGTTAAAAGAGCCTCACAGTGGTTTGTCTACTGAGGCTCCTGTTGGTCATATAAAGGCATTAAGCCCTATTTTTTTAGTCTCTCTAATGCACCACATACTAAAGTCCAGGATTTTTTGCAGAAGAAATGTTGTATGTGGCACCTCAAGCCAGATACATAATTCAGCCTCTATTAATGAATATTAACCATATTAATGAAGGCTTCTCTCAGCCTTCTGTTGTTCTGGCAGTGGTCGCTCTTATACCCACATGACTCAATTCTAGTGTTGTATTTTTTTGTCTTACGCAGGTAGACGGGGACATTCCCACCAGAGTGAAGAGAAATGCTCATGAAATGATTCTGGATTTCATTAGATCACGACCCCCACTTAAACCAGTAAGTGTCCACTTAAACCAGTAAGTGTGGTTAAGTAACTTACTTTACTGTGTGTTCACTACAGCAGTGAGCTGAATGGACATACAAGTGCAAAAGTATTTGTTTCAGTATGAACAGAAAACCACTGCTTTGAGTTTTATACAGAAGGATAATTTAAGACTGTAAACAAAGATATGATTCAAACAGAATAGTGTTAAATAAGATTTTGTCTGTAAATGTGAAATTTGAGTTAATAAAAATGTAACTACCTCTTTGACCTTGGCACAGTTGTTCCCTGACTGAACCTCAGTATAACGTATCCTGCAGCATTAGCATAGATAGCTGTGAGCGTGCTGACTAATAGCAGTTGTACTTTTTGATATACTTTGGACTACGTGGATGAATTTGTTATGTTTGTACACTATAGTTTTCATTTAAGTCTGTGACCCTGAATAATATTTATTGTAATGATAGGTCATGTGACCATTTGTGCACGGGGTACCCGATTGGTCACTCAATCAATAATGTTTTGTTTTCATCTGATCTATTGCTACTAAGGGTCCCTTTTGATGTTTTAATCTCTGTCATAGAGACACAGGCTAAAAACACTGGAGAGGATTTAAAAATCGACCATGAACAAGGTTTTCATCTCTTTCAGATTTCCCTGAAATATGGATGTGTTCTTATTATTCTCCTCGTTAGGTTTCAGAGCGCAGCCTCCCTCCTCCTCCCCCACAGAAGAAGTCCCTCCATGACCTGGTCCTGGCTGGAATAAAGCAGGAAAGAAAACTCCGGCCTGTGGACCCCTCTGGCTCCAGACGTGAGTGGACGATCAATCAACACTGTTTCTCAAGAGAATTCTTAAAAGAACCATTACTGTACAAGAAATGCTTACATCTGTCAGTCTAAAAGGCAAAACTTTTCTCGATCAATCTAAAAGTACATTAATGGATGAAGTTTATTACATATGCTTTTCGCCAGGCCACGTGTCACTTAGTAAGTAAGGGATGGACCATTGTTCCGTCAAGTGTAGAAGTTTTTCCCATTGGCTGCCCCTTAACAAAATGAGTAGGTGCAAACATTTGTTCCATATTGTAGCTTCAAAGTACACAAGCTTCTTTCAGAGCTACAGTTATTGTGTCCATCCCTTACTCACAGTGGATAACTTATAGAGGGCAAACTGTGGTCAAAGAACAGCTTTAATATAGAGATGAATGGTTCTACTGAAGGTGAACGAACTCTGATAAATAATGACTACACGGCTGATGCTGTATTCTTTACACTCTGTACAGGTGCCTGTGAGGGTCAAACTGAAGTCATACTACAGTTTCCAACTTAGACTGTGATAAGAGTATTTTAATGGTTGTATTGATTTACATAATTACTGACCAGCTATTTAAGGATCAAGGTCAATGTGCTTCAGGATGTGTGCAGTGAGGTCACAAAACACACTGAGCCAACACAACGCGGAGTGGACAAGTTGCTGTGTTTTTAAAGTGATGTTGTTTGTGAGGACTAGAAATAATCTTTCTTCTAATATTAGAGGGACTGACTTTTCAGTCATGTTAAAGTCTTTGTTTTTATAGGCAGCATACCTCCAAATATAAATGAGAAAGGCACTTAAGCCGTCCAGCTTGTTTTTAGAGGTAAAAAATAAACAACAAGAATTGTGTTTATTTCCTCTTTTAGGGCATAGGGCATTCATAATCATACATTATGTTGTGTTTTTAAAACTGTCAAATGTGCTGTGAGTTGAAAAACAGTTTGACATCATGAGATCATTTTTGCACAGGTTAATATAAACTCATAACACCTGTGCTTACTTTGTTCTGTATATCACAGCTTACGTAAAAAGAGAAAAAGCTCTTCAGTTAAGTTTATCTATATTTTTTAAACAAAAACAATCTGTATTTTACAAGGAATGATAAAATATGCATTTAATAAACGTTTTTTTTCTCTTCCAAATGGAGCGATGTGCCAAGTTCTGTTAAACCAAAGCAAATAAACACATTGACACACAGGTCAAACTCACACTCAACTGTATGTACGCTTTCTTTGAAGCTTTGAGAATTGTTTTTGTCTCTTTAGCTACTATCCATCTCGTCATTAACTTTTTCTGTTTGCTGTGTCTTGGTACGAGGTGAATCCAAATCAAGTGATAAACTTGGTGTGAAATTGTCAAATTGATTGGACAATGCTACAATTTGTTACTATAGAAAAAGTAATAAGTGAACCTTTGAGTTCTGGTTGCACTGAAAGAGGCGCTCCTCATGCTATAAAACTTAACAGTCTCCCATAAGGAGCCCAGTGCTACTCAAAACAACATTTAATACAGTGGTAAAACTGTAAGGGCAATGCAGTCCAAAGTTGTTTGCTTGAGTACAATTATTATGAACAGAGGTGTGGTTATATCTTGTTGATGGTAAAATGCTGCACATTCTAAATTTCCCTGAGTGAACGTTTCCAAGGGATTAATGAAGTTCCTATCTATCTATGGTACATCATGGAATCACTGCCCTCTCTCAGTTTCTCTGTTCTTGTTGTGTTTCTCCTCCCTCAGCGTTTGGCTCTCTGCCCTGCCTGGCTCAAACTTGTCCTTGTGATGTCAAATCCACCTCATGCATCGACCTGTCTGTGTCTGAACTTGGATCACGCTTACCGTCCCGCCCTCGTGTACTGCTCAAGGCTCCCACTCTGGCCGAGATGGAAGAGATGAACATATCTGAGGTGAGGCCAGACGCTGAGATATTAGTAGAGGAATCATTGGACTCATTGTTGCTGTCTCACAGGGCTGATCTGCAGAAGCAGCAGAGACTCAGTGCTCCACTTTCAGAGGGTTGAGATGCCTGTATGCTGATGGAGGATAGCACAGTGCTGGAAAGGGAACATTGATTGAGAGAATCCTCTTCTCTATTTTACACTCAATAACTTCGGGAAATCAAAACTTGATGTCTTCCTCCTTGTGCTGTATAAAAGCGGCAGTCAAAACTAACTCCTGCTCAGTCCAGGGTGACAGCATGTTTACTTTTTTTCAACTTAGTTTCAATATCTTGTTCTTTTTCTTAATTTGAGCATAGTGTGAAAACTGGATTATAAAGTTATAATCCAGGTTTAATATGCAGCATAGGTAGAGCTCATTTTCTCCCCTTTATTCTCTACTACCTTTTTTAATACCTTTAAACAAATATTTTCCTGTGAGTCTTATAAAACAGCTGTTTATTTCTCCACTATGGTCACTGCACATGAACAGCTGCAACATTAATGCTGAAATAATTGAATTACAGTTATATACTGATGGTATGTTATTATATATACTTTCAGGTACTTTGAGGTTTTTGAGATTAACTTAATTAAAATAGTGAATTGTGGGCTTTAACTTCAGACAAAGTGCTTCTTTACTCTGGTATCATTATTGGCCATTAGAAAATACACCAGCAACTTTATTTGCCTTGCTTGGAGGGAGTTGTTCAAGACAAATATGCCCAATATGACAATATACACACAATATTTGATCCATCTTTTTTTTTTTTTTACATCCCATTCCCCTTCTTCCCCCTCTTTAGGAGGGAGGAGGAGTCTCCAGACAACAGCGACTCGAGGAGGGCTGAGAGCTCGCCCACACCTCTAAAAAGAGATCGCTCCTTCTCAGAGCACGACCTGGCCCTGCTCCGTGGTGAGATGCTTCCCTCGCTCTCTGAGTCGTCCCAGCTGGGCGGTGGGGTCATGCTGAGGGGCGAAAGGCCTCGGTCCAGGACTCTGACTGGAGCTGGGCCGCCTCCTTACCACAGAGGTCAGTTTGTACATGATTGTGCTACTGATTCTCCACTTAATGAAGCCACTTCCTACTCTTCACTCTTTTATTGATCATGTGAATATGTCCAATTACACATAGCATAGGTATGAAGATAAAAATATGACATTATGGTATCATAGTCTGTGGCTTTTCCAGCTTTCTTGAATTTCCACAGTGTCTTTTCTGTGTCATGTCTTTACTCTTGAGAAACCTTATGCACAGTGTGTGTTATTGCTCAACACATTAATGTGATGCTGGTTGATGACTTATCAATATATTGGCAACCTTTCTAAAACAACTACTGAGACTACAATTTCATCTAATTAATTTTAGAGTGAGTTTGTTGCTGAAATGAACATTCATTGGGATCAGCTGCTGTCATGTTTTATTTTGCATGAAAAGCTGCAGACAGTCACCTTCTGTGGCAGATGATTCACACTGCTTGCAGTTTTAACTGTCCTCCCACAGAGGGAGACAGAGTGCCAGTTTAACTACTTTCTGCAGTCTCCACAGACACTATTTTTGTCCTCCATTTATGGATTAGTGATTTGGATATTTTTACATAGTGCAAAATCATACTCATGGTCCTCATAACCGTATTAAGCAGGTAGCGGCTGTATCAGTGATTTTATACTAGGAAATTAAAATGTAACATACTGTAATCTTTTGTACCACTTTTACCAATTGATTTTTTATTTTATTGAAAAGAGAATATTTTTCAGGGTTTAAGTTCTCCTTTCAAGGCAATGAATGATTCATTTGTTGTTAAGACTTTGTCCCCACCGATTCAATCTCAAACCTCAGGTATATCTCAGCACTAACCTCATTAAATTACTGTTAACGTGCTGAAATAAGAGTCCACTGTGATCAAATCCTAACAACCTTGCTGACAGGGACTTGGCAGGAGCTTTATCTGCCATCAAGCTGTTGGGAGTGTTGTGATGGATTCTAATCAAATACAAAGATGTGCTGATAAAGTGTAACCCAGTAAAGCTAATGGATTAGCCACGGGGAGGAGGTAAATTGTCTGATGTCCATGATTCTTGCTTTAGCAGCCCGGCCATCCATATCCAGAGATGATTGTTTGGGAAACAGTGCAAACTTGAATCCGTTCCTGCTGCAAGCTGATCCACACAGCTGCACACCACAAGCTTTAAAGTTTAGACCATCATATCTTGATGGAGATTTATGTTGTAGTTCAGGACTTTGCCTACAGGGGGCTCCCTTGTCTTCATTGTGAGAGTGTAAGCCTGTAAGCTGCCATCAACAGCTGATCCAAATTATGTGTGCTAATGATGTTTACCCACCTTCCTCTCAGTCTGTTTACTTTCCATTAGAGCCAAATTGACACCTTCCATTTGCAGGATGGAAGAGGCACCGTGTGTGTTCTCTTTTAACCCCCCCCCCCTCTCCACCTCCCGCCCCCCACCACCACCACCTCCGTCAGAGCCTCTGCTGAGCTCCTCTTTTAGATCTACCTCTCACAGTGATCTAAGTTACAGATGGAGTAGCATGGGCTCAATATCTCCACTGAAAACAGATGAATAATACATGGCAGTGTGAGGGTCGACTGACAGGCATGCTGAGATCTGAGACACAGCTGAATGAAAGAGTCTGATGAGTAATTTATGGACTTGTTAGACTGGGATTTGTGGATTTCTCTCGTTCACTTTCTGATTCTGTCCTACTTTGATTTGATTGTGTTTGGTCCTTCTATTAAACTCTAAATTCTTCCTACATTTTCAACCACTTCTCCTTCTCCCCAGCTTCCTTCCCAGTTCACGGCTGGGTGCCGCC